GAGAGACTTTTCTTACAGGGACACCCCATGGATCCCTCAACCCCCGTGATCGCTGTTTGCTATCTGTTTGCTACTTTTCCTCCCTCGATCGTGCTCTCTTTCCCGTTCTTTCTCGTTTTTTACACGTCTCGAATTGTATTCTTCGTTTTCCAACGATTTACCGTCATCGATGTTTCTACGAGCGTATCGATATCTCTGATCGAAGTTAATGAAAGTGAAATTTTTCTATTAATTCTAATTTATTCATCGTGGTTCCACCATCTTCCCCTTTCCCCGTTCCTTAGTTCCCATTTTTACGAATTTACGCACAGAGTTCGTAGAGTTACACGTTCGGTTGCTCGCTTGTCCGTAATCCCGTCGTCATCCGAATATTGTTTCCTGGTATAACCGCATCGTGATTAACGGTCGAGTCGCTCGATAATAATCGATATCGATGCGTAGACACTCGAGATCCGCTGCCATTCGAGGATCTGCAAACCTTCCATCCAGGAATTCAATGTATATAATTGAATTTATCGCCAATTCAAGGGTGGCAATTTCGAGGAACACGCATCATAGGCGTTCCAAGTTGGAAACGGGGAGAATTTGTACGATAATACGATCGATTATAAGCTGAACAACGTGATACGCGGATCGTGTAACGCGCTATGAAACTCGTTGTGTCCGCGTCGTGAGGCAAAGATTCGAGGGAAGCGAGGCTGATTCGAAGCTTATTCTCGTTGCGAAGAAAACAGCTTAGCTCCCTTGAATTGAAAAACTTTATTTGGATGAGATCGGATTGAAATTACAATTGGGAAAGTTGACGACTCGAGATGATGGTTTCTCTCGCCATGGAGCCGTTCGGCGCATCCACGAGCCCAGCCTCCTCCTCCTCCCTCCCCCCATAACGCGTAAGAAAATTGAATTAGCGAGGGCAATCTTCGAAACTACGTCAAGCCCTGGGACACGTCAAAGTCGAAGTTTAAATTGAAATCAACCCCGTAACCAGCGTCACGTGAATTTGGTCAAAGAGGGGACTAGCTTCGTGTACATACTCGATCTCACTTAACTCTTGAACCTATTAGTACCGTATCGATTATGTTGTGTATCGGAATTATGCGGGTGACACGCGCCGCTACCCGTAAGTGTGCGAGTAAACTAGTATCTAATTTCACGGGAATATCGAGGAATACCTGACTGACGAGTAAATATTGTCGCGTATCGATTCGATTTTGATTGGGATCGATAATTAGGCGGGTGAATAAAAAGAGGGCAGATCGATTCCCAGAACAGAAATCGCTAGATTAATTAAATTGTCGAGGCGGTGGCTAAACGGAGGGAAAACGGTCCGCGGGGGAAAAAAGCGTATTTATGAAATATTTCGCGATATTCTTTTTCTCTCCACCGTCGCAACAGCGATGGTGCGTAAATTTTTAAAATTCCAGAAAATGGAATTAAGTTGTGCATTTTTAAAAAAGGTGCAAAACGTGCAAATATTTATAGCTAGGAGATTAAATTCGTTTTCATTTATGAATGGGACGTGAAATGTAATCAAACGTTCCTTGATGAAGGAATAAACGTGGTAACGTAATGAGATATTCGTCATCGGTGTAGGAGGATGGTGGTAGAGGAGGAGGAGGAGGAGGAGGCACGATCGATATGAAATATGGAGGGCAAAGTTAGCCATAGATCAGAGATCAAATATCGAGACCTACTTGAACCGAGATTAAACCTTTTCGAAGGTAGGAAGCTAACGAAGGCGAGCGTCAAGCGGCAGGTCGCTGTGACATCTGTCAAGCCCCGTAACGGGGAAGTTCATTATGGCGTTCAGCAGGGCGCCACGTCATTTATTTCAATTACTGCCAAACGGTAAAGCTGAATCGGCAGATCTCCGCATCCGTTTCGATCATTTATGAATGTTCGTCATTAATGGCGTTGAGAGAAAGAGGGCGAGAAAAAGAGGGCGCCTACTACCCCTCCTCCCTCCCCTTCCCCCATTTCTCGTCCAAAGATTTTTATTTCGATCCCTCCTCTCGCGTTATCAATCTTATCCCAATTTTCTTGTCTTTTCTGTCTCGAGTTTTTAATTCCTTCCTTTTTTATCCGAGTCAAAAAAGAAAGAAAGAAAAGCAAGTTCGCATCGTTCCATCCAGTGAATAAACATGAGCATTCAACCTATACTCCATGAATATATATGAACGTCACGGGAAATTTGACGAAATTTATTTGACATTTTACAAAAGATTCCCTTTGACGATGACGATGATCAAAGGATGGCCAATTTCCACTGAGTTCGACGGCGCGTGCGTTAACGGAATTATCGCGCTATATATAACGATAATTGTACAACTCGCGGGGATTATCACCAACGTCTTGAAATAATATTTCGAGACGTAGAAATTTTGCAAAGGATCTGATCCTCCATCGGGATGTATCCCCCCCTCTTCGTTACGATTCTCGAGTGTCGTCGGATTAATACGGTGTATAAAGAAAACACTGTACTCCCATCCTCGCACACGGGAAATTAATGTTAGGAAATTCATTCCAACAGTTTCATAACAGGTTCTCGATAACTGGATTTCAATTTGCCCGGAGGCCAGGCTTGATTGAGCAATCTCGTGCCTTTATAATATAAGATGCCCGTGTAAGATATATGATAAACCGAAGCAACTTAGACGCTCGCAAGTTTCACTGCGAGTAATCAGCTTGCTTATCGGATTTTCTGCTTCCTGTGCGCCTAGATAGACGACAGATTGCGACAGATTCGCGAGTCGAACGCGAGTTAAAAATCTGTTCGTTTGTCTTTTTTTTTTCTCCTTTTTTTTTTTTTTTACAATAAAACGAATCGATGTCAAGTTCGTTCGTCAACCAACCCTTGTGTGTACGACGTGTAAAATTTTCGATTTCGTTCTCGATCTCGATAATTTTCGATCAACGATCGAAAGTATTATTCAAAACTGAGAAACGTTCGATTCGTCTTTTTTTTTTTTTTTTTTTTTTTTTTTTACAATAAAACGAATCGATGTCAAGTTCGTTCGCCAACCAACCCTTGTGGGTACGACGGGTAAAATTTTCGATTTCGTTCTCGATCTCGATAATTTTCGATCAACGGTCGAAAGTATTATTCAAACATGAGAAACGTTCGATTCGTTTTTTTTTTTTTTTATTTTTTTTTTTTTAAAAAAAAATATTACGTTTGGGGAGAAAATATCGAAGAAATTTTAAATGTCGTCAAAATTTTGAATAAGGTAACGTTATATATCGAATAGATGAAAGCTTTCGAGGCGACGGAAGTTCGTTTCCGAGCCCGATGAATAATTACTTTTTCCTTCATTCCACATCCGTCAGTCACTCAGTTCCAGGCGTGTACCTGCTACGTGAACGGACGTAAATGCGAGTGAAATCCTAAAAAAATTGGAACTAACTTTTTGCTAACTTGGAACTAACTTTTTTTTCAGGTATCGGATTGTCGAGTAGAGGAGGAAGGGTACGATAATCGAAGGAATATAAGAATAAAAATTTCGGACAACGAGCGATTGCTATAATACACGACTTGACGTGACGACTACTAATTATAATATTACACGGATAATCGGAAAAAAATTGCAGTTACTCGATCTTACGTTCTCAGATCGACCTAAAAATGTCCGTTGTAATCGTTTACCAGCAGGATGTTGCGAAAAGAAACGATTCAAGCAAGATGGATCGCCAATCCTGCGCCTTATTGCGACTATTCGAACCATGGAACAAATCCTGGACAAAATCCTACACCTATAGAATCGGTCTCTCGTAATTTATATTCATTCGAGATAATTTAATTCCTTGATTCCAACGTTTCGCTTTTATTGGAGCCCGTGGAAACTCGTGCTCCAAAATTTATTCCAAAATTTCATTTGTATCGCGAATAATTTTTTTTCCTTTGCGTCGCAGAATCAAAAAGAAGAGACGAAAAGAGAGAAGAAGAAAAATAAAGAAATCGCGCCACGATACCGATCTGTCTCTTCCTGATCATCTCGAATCTACATATCCAACACATGTCCAAATGAGAGAAGAGATATTCAATCCTATCTTCAATCCCTCTTCAACGGAAAGATCGAATAACCTCGATTCGTGGACCAATTACATGTACATCCCGGATCGGATCGATGATAAAAACTTGGAGAAGTTCGGATCGTTTTTCCGCCCCCTCGCATTCTTTCACGCTGTTCCACACCCTTTGAGGCCGGCCGCACGAGCTTAATTATACGAAATAATTACACGACGCGGGTAGAAAATGTAGGAGCGAGCGGAGGGAGGGGGAGGGCACGTGAATCGCGTTCACCGTGGATTGCGGTCGGCCACGAGGCAGGCAGGCAGGGTGTGCAGCTGCAACTGCGCCAGTCGTGGGTGCAGCTGCAGGGAGATGCAGTTTCGCGGGCGCACACGAGTGCGGGTGCTCACGGCGGGGCCTGGCCGGGGTTAAAGCGGGTTTGAAAAAGGAGAGTCACTCTGTTGGCGCGTAATTATGCCGCGTGCTGCCCACTTGTATTATGCCGGTTGATGTTCTGAAAACGCGCGCGTCGTTTTTTCTTTTTTTTTTTTTCCAAGCCACGAAAAATGATTATGGTAATTGCGACGATCACCACGAGCACCACGTCTTCTCCCCGTCTCTTCCGGGCAAAGCGTCGAGAAGGGAAGTCTGGAGGGAAAGTGGATCAAAGTTTTGACGCGTGAGGGTGAGGGATGAGGGGTGAGATTCTTGAATGCCTCGAGTTTGAACGCGACGCGCGTGCGTTCAATTTGAACGGGAGGAGCGCGCGTGTGTGATGCGATTTCGCGAAAATCCACGTGATCTTTTTCGGATAAGAAAAAGAGTTTGTGAAATGTCGTGGAAAAAAAAAAGAAAACGTAACACGCGCGAAATGGACGAAATTTATCTATTGTATCGACTTTAATTCTACTTTTATCTTTATTAGAGATTCGTATCCAACGAATTTTATGATACATTTCGAAATTTTGCCTTCGTGATTTAAGAGTTTATGGAACGCATTCGCTCAACTCGCGCTCGTCAAATCGTAGATGAAAACGTATATATATACGTATTTCTTTGGCGCACCACGTGTCATCTCTCCCTCCCGCGACATCGAATCTACGTTTGAAGAAAGGGTAGGAGCGAGAAGTCATCGTTATTCAAAGATCACGGACGCGTCTCAATTTCCTTGAGAGAAGTTTCCGCTTTGTGGACCCCAGTCAAATACGCGTGGAAAGAGGGCTCCCGTTCACTCTAAGTATTTTCCCAGCTTCTCGAGCCTTTGAACGCGAATCCCCTACATTTTTCCAACTCTTCCTCCTCCTCCTTGCCTCCTCCTCCGTCCACCCCCTGTTCCGTTGGCCTGGTAAATCTGCGCTAAAGCGTAAACGTATTTCAGGCCTTCGAGATCCAGCGAGACGTGAATGTAGCGTGGGGTAGCGTGGAAAAAGTGCGGCCAAATCGTTTCCCCGACGGCACACGGATCGCTGCAAAGAGATTATCTCGGTAAGCAAGCCTCACGAACCATTTGATCGCCCGTTTCACCCATTCTCTCCCTCCGTTTCCGTGGCGAGATTCGCCGAGACATCGGCCAGATCTCGTTTCTCTCCTCTTCCTTTTTGTCTCTCTCCCTCTCTTTCGTTCCTCTCCCCCTCTCTCCTCCGGCTCGTGCACTTTGCAAAACGAGTTCTGCCTTGAGATCAAGTCGCGCGAGAGAAAACGTCCACCGAAGAAGAAGAAGAAGAAGAAGAAGATATCGTATCTCCCCCTTTTGCCTGTGAACCTGTGTGTGTCGAATGTTTAGCCGATCGCTCTTCCCCTCCTCCTCTCCTTTTGATTCTCCTCGAGATGAGATCGCGACCGTTACCCATTAGATTAACGTGTACTCGAAGCGAAGTTTAATAAGAAATTATGAGGATGTCGTTATCGTTTTTTTTTTTTTACGACGCGTTTTGGATTTTCCCCGATTCTTCCGAGATTGCTCTCGATCTCGCGCACCTCGTATTTTCCTCCTCACTCGATTATTCCCATTTCCGGAAAGGAAACGGAGATCGAAAAAAAAAAAAAAAAAGAAAGAAAAGAAGAAAATTCATTTCATCGCTTCAAGGAAATTACAACTTGGAATTATTTATTGGAAATATTATTTATCGATGGAACGTTTTTCGCGACCGGCATCCATTTCTTTCGTCTTCTCGCCAATTGACAGAATTTCGGTACAATGATAAAATATTGCCGGGAAACGTTTGCTCGGGCTGTTCGTATTGTTTCCGGCAATTTTTCAACAACAATTACGCTTCGAAACGTCTAAACAATGGAACAGGATTTTTGCTTTTTTTCCAAACACCTCCTTTTTTTTTCCGTTGGAAGAGATCCATGATGTTTGCGCAGCCAGGAATCCGTGACATTTCTGTAATCCCCCCTGAATGCTGTTTTTCACGCAAATTATTCCACCCGTGTTTCCTATCCCTCCTTCTCCATAAGAATCGGTATTCGTTTTCCGCGATAACGGCAACGTTTTCGAAGCGGATCGCGACCACTCTCTTGACACGTCGCGTTTACGTCACGCGTGAAATCGACCAGGCGCGTGTTTAACGAACACTTGAGATTAGAGTGACTCGCTGCGGATTATCGGACGTGTAAAACGTCTGGTTGTACATCGCATATGGTGTCGTCGAGGATCGTTTCCAGTACTATTAATTAATTTCGTTCGATGTTCGCCATTTGAATCTTCGCACGCTTCCACAGTTACGTTACGTTCTACGCGCTCTGATGCGACGATTTCTTGCAACGTGCTTGCAACTTACTTAGGGATAATGGATCGTCCCTGATTCGACGCGTCGTCTTATCGACGGCGAGAATTAATTTTTTGGGGAAATCTTTCTGTTAGAAGAATATAATATAACAAGCAGCGCGAAGAAATTTACGAAGAAAACGAAGAAAAAGGAATATATCGTTGGAGTATATATCGTTGGAATATCGATAAATGTAATTGCATTGTGCATTTACAAAATTGTATATTCAAAATTTCTAAAACCAACGACACGTTAAACCGGAAAATTCGCAGTATTTCAATTGAATCGTTCCCCGCTCTTTGGACAGAGGTTGTATTTGTTTTAATAAAATTAATTTGCTTTGTTTTGCCAGACTCCCCTTTACGAATAGAGACGGAGAGGCTGGTGTATACGAGCCAGATGAGAATGTACATTTCATATTGGCCCGTAAACGCTGCATTAATCGGTAACGAAAAATAATTTCCGCCATTTACTCGAAAGGGAATTTACTTGAAAGAGCCGCTTTTAACGGATGAAAAATAACTCGCGTAAAGGAAGAGACATTTCCAGATATTTCACCCTCCCTGTATTTTTGCTAGTTTACGAGTACTCGATTCATAAGGCGATTCCTTCCGATATTGTTTTCGTCGATTTCCCACGAATAATTTCGGTCTCGCGGCAATAAATTCTCCGCCTCTTCCTTACCGTTCAACAAGAAGGAACTTTTCGCTCGCGACTACTTCTGTCTGAGATAAACACGAAAGTTAAGTTACAATGGCGGGATGCTCTGGTCGAAGTTAAACTAGAATTGGGCGTTGCACAAGTGGCTAACAATAAGTTATTAAGCAGTTGTTCAAGTTTTAATTGCATCTCGCAGTACTGGCATTCTGAGGGGAGAGGAGAGAGAGAGAGAGAGAGAGAGAGAAAGAGAGAAAGAGAGTGGCCTGGTCTACGTAACGTTGACGAACTTATTCCCAGGATTACCGGTGAATATTCCACGGAACGAGTATTTCTACCGTGCTTTTTTTCCCCATCTCCCCCTCCTCTGCCCCCTTTCGCGCCCCTCCATTTTCAAATATTAACTCTGCGGACCACGAGAATCCCTTGAAATATTAAAAAGTTTGCTCACATGGGCGACCGCGAGAGAATGACAATCTCTCGTGCAATTCCCACCGAATATCTTCTTTATTATTTGATTCGTTTGTTAAAATGTTTTCAGGCGAATTTCTGTCTGAAAAATGATACGAGAAGTCGGTTTCCGTTCCGCGAGAATCGCGCGAGAAGAGTTTCATTAAAATCGATTCGATCGATCCGACTTACCGGACCAAGATGCTTATATCCGCTCTGCAAAGCCAAAAGGGATGCGACTGGGGGTCCACCTTCGATTCGAACCACCCATTCTTCTTGACGACGATCATCGATACTCGTCGCAAATTCATTCATTGATATGATCCAGCAAGCGATAAACCAAACGAAACGAAAATTCACTCCGATATCACCCACGACACCGATCGAAAGCATTTTGATTCGTAATTAAAAATAATCGAATGATCCGATCATAATATCATTGAATCCATCTCGATCGATATTTCTAACGTATTTTTTTCACTTTATTTCTTTCAGTTCGACGTTCACACGACGACCAATGGATCTCAAATGACACGTGATCGAACAATGTGTGCGACAATTAGTTCTGATCCTCCTTTTTGCTTGTCGAGGGATTTATTTTCCCCACCAAGCTTCCCTCTAGGCTGGAAAGTAACGGTGGAAGGGTGAGCCACGTGATAACGTAAACAAGATACGATTAAGTACGAAGATTGATTGCTTGTCTGTTTTTTAAGCGAAACCATTTGTTTTTTTCCATTCCCTTTCCTTTCGAGCGAGTCAATCTTCGAGTCGAATTTTTTTTCTTTTCTTTTTAAATAATTTTTCGATGCAAATTTCTCCCCCTCCCTCTCCCTTTTTTTAAAAATTTATCTTTCTTTCGTCGCGCTTTTTAAATTTCATCATAGTTCATAAAAGTATCATTTTTTTTTCTTTTTTATTATCGAACTCGCCGGCAACTACAACTCGTGCATAGATCCTTGAGATAGATCGCGATTAATTTCGGTTCTGTTTACTTGGGAAAGCGTTTAGATCAGAGCGAGGAATTTGGAGAGAATATAATACAAAGTGGTCGCTATTAATTCGCAATTTCAATTACAACTCGAGTCAATCTCGCGAGAAATAATTCCCCCGTTTTATCAGATGTCGCGAGGAACAGAACGCGATCTTCGATAATATCATTTTTATCCTCCTTTGATCTCGCGAAACAGATAATTAATTCGATTCGCAAGTTCCGTTGCGGAATTTCCGCTCGAATTTTCTTTTAAAACTAATCGCGGATCGGATCTATCGCGGAAATTTTCAATATCTCGCTTATTTATTTATGCGCTCGTTTATTCGTCGATTCTATTTATTTTTTATTTCAATTCGTTTATCCTAATTTCAACACATATACGTTAATTTATATTTCGCTCGTTTCTTTCATTTCCCTTGAGAAAACTGTTATCCACAAAGGATAAAGAAAAAAAAAAGAATTTACTCGAAATTTCATTTCCTATCCCATTGCCCTGGAGACAGGACAAGAAGGGCAGGAAATTTTGAAGGTAGACTCTCTGTAATGTATGAAAAGCCAATCAAATTCTTTAGGATAATCGGTTTAATAACTCGCACGTGGAATTTGTCGGTTGTATTGATTAAAAGCCTCGAATTCGTTTTGTCATTTTTTACTTTTATCCTCTTTTTTTTTTCCAAATTTCCATACAAAATTGAAAACCCGTTTTTCGTTTTTCTATATCCCTTTTTATTTATTCTTTTTTTTTTATTTTATTTATTTTTCACAAATTCACTTCTATTTCCCGAAGTGAGCAGCTTTACAGTGAACAGTTTTCCAGCAATAATTCTAGATAACGTTCTCCCCGCGATAATTGTAATATTTTAAAACTTAAACAGACACGTTCGAAGATATCACGGAGAATTATTAGAAATTATTCATCCGGTATTTAGATAAATTGGCGTAGAGATACAAAATGGAAATCTGGACATAATTGATGGAGGAGAAACGCGGACAGGTAAAGAGGATTTTACAGTTTTCCGTCGAAAACGGCTTCACTTTGTCGGCCTCCGGAGGGTAGTACTTATAAATAAATTCAACCACCGTTACCGGGGGAGGGGGAGGGGCTTCCTTCGCATAGATATACACGCGAAGACACACCGAAGGGTGGCCGATAAAAGCAAAAATACAGAGGCACCAGGCGTCGTAAAGTTGGTAGGGAAAAGAAGAACGGGGGATATCTGTCGATAAAAGGAACTCGTTTTGCTTCTGCTCACGTCGAATTCGGGATAAATCCTTGCCTCCTCTATTTTTTGGAGGATTTTCCACTTTGGCCGGAACATTGTCACGGTATAATTTAAGCTTTTTATTGGTAATTTTTTCGCGAATGAACACAAATGTGATATTTCGCATATTTTTCTCTCTTTGTTTTTTTTTTTTTTTTTTTTTTTCTTCAAGATTTCTTCTCGCAGTCTCGTCACGAAGAGGAGGGATCGAAGGATAGAATAATTTTATTCGTTGATTTGTTGGACGCATTATTACGATCGAGAAAAACGAGATACAACGAGTAATTGGTAGAAATTAGTGGGAAATGTCGAGCCATTCGTTTTCACTTAATTCGCGCCCGTTTCTATCGAGGAAATTCGATTTTCCGTGAACGTGGAGGACCTTGGACCATCGCGTCCATTTCCAGCCCAGAGACTTTCCTATTTTGCTCCGTGCCGACGAGTTCCAACTATTTCGAGGCAATCGTTTATGGCCTCGAAACGTGCATTACTTTCCTGTTAACGGGTAACCGTGTTCGTTGTCACTCGCTGACAGTTTTCAGATAATTCCAGTCGCAATAGTTAAAGGAAGTTTGTATTCTATTAAGGCGCCATGTACATTACGTACCTCCATTTCTGTGCGCGTATTGCATTCCTATTATTGTCGTTTAAATCACGTTTATTAGTCGTATCGACTAATGATTATATAGATTCGCTACTAGATCAAAATAATCGAAATTTCGTTTATCTTACTTTCGTTTATCGTATTTCCCCCGTCCTTTTTTCGCACGCATGAGATCTCTTTCTTCTCCTTCATTAAAAAAAAAGAAAAAGAAAAGAAATCTCTCGATTCGGGGAAGCATTTCTCTCGTATTTCGTTATCGTTCGATCATCCCCGTCTCGTTCGAGGGGCATAATCAGGTAGTGACGTTTATTAAACAGGCCGCCTCGAAATAGAACGCGAAAGTAACCGTAGAAAATTGGAAAGTTTCCGCGCGATAAAATCGGACTTAATTTTCAATAAATTCCCTCTCCACTTGGCCCTCAGGAGAAGAGGGGGTGGTGGGCCGGTTGTTCGCCGTACGTGGCGACGACCATCCGAAAAGGGGTGGAGGTTGGAAACAGTGGAAGGAGGAAGAAGGGTCGGAAGGCGCGGAGGAAAGGTAATTTACTTGGTAATTATAAAGTTACCAGCACTGGCGACGCGCATAGTTGTGAATATTCAAATGCGATTACATCTATGATCGCATAAATTATACGTCTCACCCCCGCTCGCTTCTTGCCCCGCCCTCTGCTCGCGAATTTCATCTTCCTTTCTCTCGTCCTCCTCCTCCTCCTCCCCCTCGTTTTAATGCAACTCGAAAACTTTGACTTTGGTTGGTTTGTACACCAAGGGGAGGTCCTGGACTGTCCAACTGCTACCACGTTTTTTTCACTGCTATCGATCTCACGAGTTTCCCGTATTTTTCGAGACGAACCTACCTCACCTCAACGGTGAGGAAAAAGTTAGGATGAAATTGGTCACCTTTGGCTCGTTCGAAAGATCGGCCGCGATTTCTCTCTCGTCTTTCCGCGGTACGTCCGTAAATGGACATTGATTTTTACGAGTTTGTTCGATAGTTGTTTCTTAACTTGGAAAACTCTCGTCGTTCCAAAGAATTTTCCTTCAGACGTAAATATTATATCTTTTAATCTTTAATGTATATACCTTTCGTCCACACGAATTATATTCTTCTCCGTCTCCGTAAAATCGATCGAACATAACTTGGAAGAATCTCGCGTTTACGTTTCTTTTGTCTCGTTTCCAGACTATATTAATTCATCGTGGAAACAGCGATTACATCGTGGGAGAAGATCAAATAGTATTAGGTAATCCCGATCTAATCCCGTCTTAGAGCTTGCTCGACTTAACTCGGACCTAACATACCCGTTCTCGAGCACCGTTCTCTTGCAGTTTGTTCCTTCAACCAGGTATTTATAGATTCAATTAATTAATTCGTTTCCTCCGTTAACACCGTTCCATCCTCGTCCAATCGCTTCCTTTCCTTCGTTTCTCTATAGTTATTTTTCGTTACAGGAACGTTGGACTCTCGAACGCTGCGAAGAAATTTACTTAGCTTTTCGCTATGAGAGAGGAGGGAGAAAAAGAGATGCTTTAAACATAGCGAATACCGGTGTATTACAAGCGGGAGCTGTATCGAGTCAGATAAGAGAGTTCCCTCGCCTTATCGTCGCTTTTTTACCGTCTACCGTCGCGAGACAACAGGGAACTGTCCACGAAACAATATTTTTCACCCACCTTTCTAGCGTCACCTTTTTTTCTCCTCTCCTTTCTCCTTTTTTCCTTTTTCCTTTCTTTTTATCTTCCCCCTCTTTTCCTCCCTTTTGCCCCGTAGAACGCGAAGATCTCGTTAACCGTTAAAGAACGAGTCTCGTGTATTATCCAGTCCTTTCGCAGATAACAACGAGGAGTACAACAACCCTTGTTGTGGTGTTATCTTCATCGAATAATTAAGAATTGTTTAATTGTCCTCGAGACTGGTTATCGCGCGTTGAAAAAGAAAATTCGTCTCGTAAATTGAGCAGAAGAATTCGCATATCTATCTCTTAAGTCATTTCGATTGCGCGACACGTTCCATTTTTTTCCAATCTGTTTCCAACGAAAATTAATATCTCTATTAACGATCGATGGAACGGAATATTTTTGTAAGGGAACAGATTCCGAATGATCGTCTATTGGTCAACGTGATCGCGTCGTTGTAAAAGAGTACGCCACACGTGTCGACAATTGACTCGAGTTTATGTATTTGCACATGTGGCACAGCCACAATGGGGATCGCTCTTCTGGATTTACGAGATGGAAGCTTTAAAGCTTTGGGAATCTAATGGAATTTCTTGGAAGATGTTTGGAATACTCGTTGCAGGAAATTTACGAAGATTGAGAATATAATGATTGGTGTAATCTCGGTTGGAAACTGTGTACTCCGTGATTATCATCATCATCATCATCATCATGAAGCATCCGAACCGGTTGATCCGACAACATTTTCTCGAAGAGAGGGAATTTTAATCGTCCGCTTTTCCGAAGCGATGAATTTTGTTCTCGCGGACCAAAGGGACCGCGGGTTCAGCACATTTTAAAGGAGCCTGTTTACTTTCAAAGTAACACAATTGTGCGCATACCGCATAGTAGCGGGGCGCATTCAAGCGGAATTTCATTTGAGAAACGAAATTTTAACTCGAGAATGCGAGCGAGAAGAAGCAGAGAAATCATACACGATTAAAAAGCTTAATCTCCTTTATGAGCCGAATATGAAGGTTGCGCCGTAAGGCGGGGCACAGATGAGAAATAGTTGCTACGAATTACTACCCTGGTAAACAACCCCTGTAAATGATTAAATTCCCGCGAAGAGAGAGAGAGAGAGAGAGAGAGAGAGAGAGAGAGAGAGAGAGAGAGAG